CCCCCCCCCCCCCCCCCCAAACCTTGCTATTCATTAGTAATTTCCAATTCAATTCTTGCAATGCCCCCTGATTGATGGAAAGCCTGCCGTGTTTATTTGGATATCAGGGAATGAAATATTCATATTGTATGCCTTTTCAAGCAGAAGTTATCTGGGTGCAGCGTAAATGGTACTTGGGATTAGATTTTCACAGCAGATTGCAGTTATTAAAGAGAAAAAAGGAGGGGGTTACAGGGAAGCTGCCTCCTTCTGGGGAGGCAATCTATTTCTTTTCACGCAGACTTGGAGCGGCTGCATAGCCTCTTAATGCACTGGAGCAAAAGTGCTTTGGTCCGCAACCTTTCACGCCTTCCTCTCCCTTTTATATGATTGAATACTTAATAATTTTGACTTTGCTTTGAAAGCCTGCGCCATGGGGCCTGTTCGGTTGGCTTGTGGTGAGGCTGCTGTACCTGAGTGTCTTGTCTGCTGCTAACTGCGCTTATTACCAGCTGTCTGTCAGCCTTTTGCCCACAGCTCATCCGGCATCATGTCCATCTTCTGCACGTCATCTCGCACTCTTTATTTTAATATCAGTCTGACTTTTAGGCTGTTTTCATATTTAAGATGTTTTGTTTTTGTCTCTTATGATTGTTGCTTGTCACATTGTACAATGTGACCTGGGTAATATCTTGGTTAAAATCCTATGCAGGCGTTATTTATTTATTTATTTTATGTCAGACATAGTTTGGTCATAATTGACCGTGTTTACTGGAGATCAATCGCATCATAACATCCTCATTGACATACAAAATTGAAATGGTACTTTCTATGATAGAAAAGAAAAATCTGAGGGTACGTTTGCACGATAACAATTGTACTAAAAACGGACAGGTTTTCACCTTGTAAAGTAACACTACGCGCCTGTGCACATATGCATTCTTATAGTTTGAATGTGTAATGCACATGCGCATGACGTCACCATTTTCACGAATTCACGTTTTCGTAGTTTACACGGGAGATGATAATAGAATTGTTTTCAAAAACGTGCACTTTGAAATGCGTTTTCAAGCCCCCAAAAATGCCATTGTCATGTAAAAGAATGGCCAAAAAGTTTTCTGTTTTTAAAGCGGTGCCATGTAAACACCCCCCGAGTCCCAGGAGTCTCATGGTTTAGTGAAACAGGGATTTTAAGGACTGTTCGTTCCTTTTGCTCATTCCAAAATTGAGATATATATATATATATATGCGCCACTGAGGTATATATACTGAGGTTATATATATATA